TCGGGGGTGGGAGGGGGGTGTCTTGGGTTAGGCCATTTAATGTTTTCAGAAAGTGGGGGGATAGTTCTTGCGAGAGTGTTTGATAGTATCTGGCGGTCAGTCCGTCTGGGCCGGGGCTTTTACTTTTCGGCAGTGCCTTAATCGTGGCGAGTAATTCCGTTTGTGTGAATGGTTCATCTAATGTGTGTATTTGGTCGTCTGGGATCTTGCGTGGCAGGTTTGCCGAGATGTATTCCCTCAGGTTGCGGTTCTGTGTTTTGGGGGGGGGTAGGTTATAAAGGTTTGTGTAGAAAGCGTTGAACGCCTTGGCTATATCTTCTGTAGTGTTGTGTTGCCTGCCTGTGTCATCTGATATTTTGTCTATGAACGATCTCTGCCGTTTGGCTTTCAAAGCTCTAGCTAGTAGTTTCCCACTCTTGTTACCATGAGCATAAAAGGTGCTCCTTGTCAGTTGAGTGGATCTATATGCCTTTGCGGTTAGTAGCGATCTTAATTCTATGCGTAGGGCTGTCAGCTTCTGGAAGTTATCATTCGTGGGATCTTGTTTGTGTGTGGCCTCGGCTAAGTGTGTGTCTGCTATGAGAGAGTCCATTTTGAGGGTCCGTTCTTTCTTGATTCTAGAGCCCCATTTGATAAGGGTGCCTCTGATAACTCCTTTATGGGCTTCCCAAACCCAGGGGTCTGATACCTCAGTATTCCCATTCTCTAAGAAATAGTGTCCTGCCGTCTGTCGCAGGTCGTCTAGAACTCTGGGGTCGTCAAGTAGGGTTTCGTTAAGTTGCCAGTGTGTCGTGGGTTTGGGTTCTCTCTGGAGAGTGACCGTCAGGAAAATTGGAGCGTGGTCAGACCACGTGATATTGCCTATGGATGCGTCTTTTAGCAGTGGGAGATGTCTGTGGCTAAGTAAAAACATGTCTATTCTGGAGTAGCTTTTGGCTGCCTGAGAATAAAACGAGTAGTCTCTGTCTTGGGGGTGTAGTATACGCCAGCAGTCTACGAGCTGGTGAGTACATAAGGCAGTCGAAAATAGTGTTCTTTGGTGTTGCTTAGGGTCCGAGGATAGAGAGGAGCTATCTAATGCGTGGTCTAATACCATATTCCAGTCCCCGCCTACTAAAACTACCCCCTCAGCAAATGCGTCCAGTTTAGTCAAACATGACCGTATGTAGGATACTTGGTCAGCGTTGGGGGCATATATGCTTGCTAGCGTTATGAGGGTACCGTTATATACTCCTTTAACAAATACAAATCTGCCTCTAGGGTCAGTTTTAACCCCCGTTTCTGTGAACGCAGCATTGGAGGCTAGTAATATTGCCACCCCTCTGGTTTTCTTTTGCGTGTTATTACTATAATAGGCTATATTGTTTCGTTTGGAGTGAATTTTTGGTTTGAACTCTCCCTTAAAGTGTGTCTCCTGTATGAAGATTATTTCGGCTCCCTGTCTGTCTATTTCCTGTGCTAGCATCGTGCGCTTCATAGGTGAGTTTAGTCCCCGTACATTTAGGGACATTAGTTTTGTATATATCATGGTGGTGGATCCAGCAGTAGAAGCATATTTAATGAGTCAAGGGTCATACCCGTGAATGATGTGCTTAGTGGTATTGTGGTGGCAGGGTTGGTACCCGGGGGGGGAGTTGGGGAAAAACAAAAACTATTTACATAGGGTTGAGATGAGAGGTTCATCTCTGGTGTTGAGATTGGCGCTGCACTTGTGGGTAGCTCTACGTGACCACAAGTGGAGTCGGGGCGCCTCTCTGGGGGGTGGTGGTCGGATCTCCCGACCGGGGGCATCCAGGGGTTCCAGCGGGGCAATCATGGATGTCATACACTTACCCCTCACCCACCTTATCGGGGGGGTTATGGGGTATGCGGTGAGAGCGACCTCGGTTTAACCCCCGTGGACCCGGTCTCCTGAGGCCCAAAGGTTGAATAACGTTACTAAAATCCTAATGCAGGGCCCTAGAGCCCGGTAGCGGCTACTAATGACATTTTTAAATAAAACATAGTATAGCATAGCAGTGTAACATTGATTACATAGTGTAGAGAGTATTTAGTTGCATTGGCATGGCCTTTTAAGGTAAACATATCTGGCATAGTGTCGACAGAGGGAAAGAGGGATAGCAGATATATACATAAGTGAAACATATGGAACATGAGTGTAGGCTTATACGACCGTGACAGTTCTCAGGTTGGTTCTTCTCTGGTTGGAGCGCTTAGGTTGGTACCGGGGTGGTTCTGCCTGCGCCTTTTCCTCGGGGATTTTTGCCATTTGGGCTTTTGTGAGGCCTGTCTTGACGGGTTGGTTGCCAGCCCTGTCCAGTCTTCCACTTCGGACGGTGGGAGTTTGAGTGCCCTCTGGAAGTCAGGGACGTCCTCTGGTGAGGTAATAGTGTGGGTTTTGTTCTGGAGGTTGACTGTCAGTGCAAACGGGAAGTTCCATCTGAACTTTATTTGTCTCTCTAGCAAGGCCTGTGTGATAGGCCGCAAGGCTCGTCTTGCTTGTAACGTGGATGGAGCCAGGTCTTGAAAGATCGTTACCGGTTGGCCGTCTATCGTTAGATCTTTATTTTGGCGGGCTTTACGGAAGATTTCTTCCTTTAAGGGAAAATTGTGAATGCGACAGATGAGGTCTCGCGGTTTATCCGGAGGGAGGTTTCTGGGCCTAGCTGCCCTGTGAGCCCTGTCAAAGGTGATGGCTGTGTCTTGAGGTCTGGTTAGGATGCGGTTAAAGAGGGTGGTTAGAACCTGAATGGGGTTTTCTGTTACACCCTCGGCGCTCTCGGGGATTCCCCTCACCCGTAGGTTGTTTCGGCGTCCCCTGTTGTCCACATCGTCCAGCCTCCTTTGTAGGTACCTTATTGCCTTTTGCATTCTGATGTTCATACTTTTCTATATTGCCAAGAATTGCCCAAATGGAGGGGGGCAGAACCCAAAAATAAATAAAAGAATTGTATACAATTTAAATATTGCATGGTTTTGGAGTGTCAGGTACCTCCTGCAGCCTGCATGCAGTTGCATTATGATGCATATCCAATATCTTCAATAGTTAAAGATACTGATGTTGATATGATATTGCTCTATTCACAACACTTTGAATTTGGTTGCCCTGTTGCAGCAACACTGAACTTAGCACATCAGGCTTATTCATGACATGTAGGGTAAATTTATACAATCCCGTCACTGTCAATCATGTTAAAATTACTTTTTTAACCCATAAATTACAAAAAGCACACAAATTCTAAAATTTTCTAGTTTTTATTTTGTTAACTTTATTTTCTAAAAATAGTAGTCTTGCGTGTTGTATAGATTTTATCCACTCATATGTTTCTTGAGCAAGTGGCTTGCAATTAAATACTTTATCTCTGGTGATTTGCTTTGTGCTACCAAGCCAATAAGTGGTCCTTCAATATACATGAGATACTCCCCCAATGCTGCCATTTTCTAGAGACTAGAGAGTCCTGTCTCAGTGCTGCAGAGTGCACAGTGTGCAGCTCTTTATTCAGCGTCTCCATGCTCTGCATGGAGGTGCTGAATGTTACCCATAGAGAACATGTGCAATATCTTCCCAATGCTTTCCTACAGGAAAGCATTGATTTAGCTGAGGTCTTAAAGATTGATTTATCTCAGCCATGAAGGCAGGACAAGCCGCGTAAAACTGGCACGGCGTGGGAAAGAAGGTGAGTAAAAAACACCTCTCTTGTAATTGTAGGGGTGCAGGTACATACGCACTGGCGCGCGCACACCGGCTGAGATACACGCACACACAAACACTTACAGAGATTATATATACCCTGTTCCAAATTATTATGCAAATTCTATTTAACCCCTTAACGCCGGAGGGCGTACTATTACGTCCTATTTTAAGCGGCTCTAAACGCCGCCGGGCGTAATAGTCCTCTGGTTTTTTTGTACTTACCCGGTCGCGGGTGATCCCACGACGGTGATCGCGGTTGGGGGGAATCCCAGGGAGCCCCCTGTGGCACATCCAACGTCCAGAAGCCCCCCTGGCCATGTGAGGGTGAGGTCCTTGCGAGGACCTCACAATCACATGGCCGGGATAGCTGGCTTCTGTATTGCCAGCAGGGGGGCTGCCTGGAACCTGAAGAAAGTCCCAAACGAGGACTGAAACGTTGAAACAGCTTTTTTAACATATGGATTAATAAACTTCACTTTTGTAATCATTTTTCGGAAATCCGTGAGTGCTGATCACTTTCTGTGTGTGTGTGTGTGTGTGTGTGTATATATGTATATATGTGTGTGTGTATATATATATATATATATGTGTGTTATTTCATTCTAACTGTATATTGTGATATTAATATATATTTATATCAAAATACATGTAGAACGAAATAATATATATATCTATATACATAAATATACACGTGTGTGTATATATCAATAAATATATAAATTCTACATATATATTTATGTAATATTTTTACATAATTAGGTATCTTAATTACAATTAGCGGGACCTGCCTGACAACCCATACCGAAAGTAAAGGGAATTTAATTTGCTAGCACTATATTTAACCCTATAACTTTCTAAGACACCATAAAACCTGTACATAGGGGGTACTGTTCTACTCGGGAGACTTCGCTGAACACAAATATTAGTGTTGCAAAACAGTAAAATGTATTACAACAATGATTTCGCCAGTAAAAGTGAAGTTTTTTGCATTTTTCACGCACTAACAGCACTTACACGGACGATATTATTGCTGCGATACTTTTTACTGTTTTGAAACACAAATATTTGTGTTCAGCGAAGTCTCCCGAGTACAACAGTACCCCTCATGTACAGGTTTTATGGTGTTTTCAAAAGTTACAGCATCAAATATAAGGCTTGTGTTTCATTTTTTTCACATTAAAATTTGCCAGATTGGTAAGGTTGCTATTGAGACCCTATGGTAGCCAAAGAATGGAAACTACCCCTATGATGGCATACCATTTGCAAAAGAAGACAACCCAAGGTATTGCAAACTGGGTATGTCCAGTCTTTTTTAGTAGCCACTTGGTCACTAACACTGGCCAAAATTGTTTTTTTTTTTTTTTTGCATTTTTCACACACAAACAAATACTAACGCTAACTTTGGCCAGTGTTTGTGACCAAATGGCTACTAAAAAAGACTGGACATACCCATTTGCAATACCTTGGGTTGTCTACTATTGCAAATGGTATGCCATTATGGGTGTAAATTTCATTCCTGGGCTACTATACAGTCTCAAAGGCAACGTAACCAATCTGGTGAATTTCAATTTCAAATGTAACGTGTTATATTTGACCCTGTAACTTCCCAAAACACCATAAAACCTGTACATAGGGGGTACTGTCTTACACGTGAGACTTTGCTGAATACAAATATGTGTATTTTATTGCAGTAAAAGCAAACAGTATTATGACACTGACCGTTAAAATGTCATGTAGAACTAAAAAAATCCAAAAAAATCGTATTTTCTCCCATTTTTTTCATATAAAATTATGTTTCATAGCTAAATATTTGATATTAAATGAAAGCCCTGTTTCCCCTGAATAAAATGATATATAATAAGGGTGGGTGCATTTACTATGAAAGAGGTGTATTACGGTTGGACAGACATGTAGCGCAAATGCCAGGTTTTGTTTACATTTTGTTTTGTTCACAACGTGTACATTTAGCTCCGTCCTTAAGGACCACTATAGTGCCAGGAAAACATACTCGTTTTTCCTGGCACTATAATAACCTAGTACCCCACTCATCGGGTCCCCTCCCACCAATGGAAAGGGAAGGGGTAAAAACACCTTTCCAGCGCTGGTGAGGAGAGCTCTCTGCCTCCTCTCCTCTCTACATTTACGCCCGCCCATTTGAATCGCGCAGCGGCAAGAGCTTCTTGTGGCGCCTTCGGAATGCTCAAAGCATTTGTGCTTTCTATAGACGCTGCGATGCTCCTCACTGTGAAAATCACGGTGAGAAACGCATAGCGCTTCTGAAATAAACTGTCAATGAGACAGCCACTAGAGGAAATAGGGGAAGGCTTAACCCATTGATAAACATAGCAGTTTCTCTGAAACTGCTATGTTTATTAAAAAATGGGTTAACCCTAGCTGGACCAGGCACCCAGACCACTTCATTAAGCTGAAGTGGTCTGGGTGCCTAGAGTGGTCCTTTAAGGGGTTAAGTGTCAGAAAGATTAAATATTTAGTTTTTCAGTTTAACTCATGGATGGCATTGTGTCTCAGGGCTCTTTTGATCACTGAAAACAATCTCTGACACCTGTGATAATTAGATTGCCAGGTGAGCCCAATTTAAGGAAAAACTAATAAGGGAGGTTGTTCCACATTATTAACCCCTTAAGGACGGAGGGCGTACTATTACGCCCTGCAGGAGCCGGCTCTAAACGCCGGCGGGCGTAATAGTACGCCCTCACTTTAATGGCCGCCCACGTGGCCGGCGCTATTCGCCCGCTGCAGATCGCGGTCGGGGGGGATGCCCGGCCCCCCAGGCAACCCCCCTGTGGCCGGGGACCGCGATCTGCAGTCACTGATCGCAGTGACAGGCTGTCACTGCGATCAGTTTTTAACGTGTGTCAGCCGATTTCAAATCGGCTGACACACGTGGCCGGCGGCTTTCTGCAATGCAGATCGCGGTCGGGGGACTTACCTGGCCCCCAGGCAGTCCCCCTGGGGTCAGTGACCGCGATCTGCACTGTCTGAGATCGCAGTGACAGGCTGTCACTGCGATCTCAGAGCGCTCTGATCGCAGTGACAGCCTGTCACTGCGATCAGTGTTACATGTGTCAGCCTATTGGCTGACACATGTAACAGGCACAAAGATCCCCCTGCAGATTGGAAGGGGGGAGTGCTTGTACCACCCAGGCACTCCCCCCGTGGCCAATTACCCAATCTGCAGGAGGTGATCACAGTGACAGGCAGTCACTGTGATCACTGATCCTGTGTGTCAGCCAGTGATGTAAAATCACTGGCTGACACTGTCTCTGCCCCCTGTCCTGTAAAAAAAATAAAATATTAGTTAAAAAAAAAAAATTACAGTTAAATATAAAATATACTTAGATCATATATATTATATATATATATATATGATCTAAGTATATATATATATATATATATATATATATATATATATATATATATATATATATATATACACACACACACACACACACACATTTACACATACATTTACACATACACGAAGTGTATTTAAATATTAATATATATAATTATTTATATATATATTACTATCAAATTACACGTAGACTAATACTGATTAAATATATATATAATTATTGTTATATATATATATTTATATATAATATATAAAAATGTAAATACGTAAAAAAAATAAAATTACAAAAATAATTAAAAATAAATAATAAAAAATTATATAGATGTTTGTTATTTCGTTCTAACTGTATTGTGATATTAATATATATATATTTATATCAAAATACACGTAGAACGAAATAATATATATATCTATATACATAAATATATACATATATATCACTAAATATATACACCTATATATATATAAAAATATTTAAAAAAATTATATATATATATGTATATATACACATATGTATATATATACATATATTAATTCTACACATATATTTATGTAATATTTTTACATAATTAGGTATCCTAATTAATTACAATTAGCGGGACCTGCCTGACAACCCATGCCGAAAGTATAGGGAATTTAATTTGTTAGCACTATATTTAACCCTATAACTTTCCAAGACACCATAAAACCTGTAAATTGGGGGTACTGTTTTACTCGGGAGACTTCGCTGAACACAAATATTAGTGTTTCAAAACAGTAAAATGTATTACAACAATGATATCGCCAGTAAAAGTGAAGTTTTTTGCATTTTTCACGCACAAACAGCACTTACACGGATGATACTATTGCTGCAATACTTTTTACTGTTTTGAAACACAAATATTTGTGTTCAGCGAAGTCTCCCGAGTACAACAGTACCCCTCATGTACAGGTTTTATGGTGGTTTCAAAAGTTACAGCGTCAAATATAAGGCTTGCGTTTCATTTTTTTCACATTAAAATTCGCCAGATTGGTTACGTTGCCTTTGAGACCCTATGGTAGCCCAAGAATGAAAATTACCCCTATGATGGCATACCTTTTGCAATAGTAGACAACCTAAGGTATTGCAAACAGGGTATGTCCAGTCTTTTTTAGTAGCCACTTAGTCACAAACACTGGCCAAAATTGGCATTTTTTGCATTTTTCACACAAACAGATACTAACGCTAACTTTGGCCAGTGTTTGTGACCAAATGGCTACTAAAAAAGACTGGACATACCCCATTTGCAATACCTTGGGTTGTCTACTATTGCAAATGGTATGCCATTAAGGGTGTAAATTTCATTCCCGGGCTACTATACAGTCTCAAAGGCAACGTAACCAATCTGGCGAATTTCAATTTCAAATGTAACGTGCTATATTTGACCCTGTAACTTCCCAAAACGCCATAAAACCTGTACATAGGGGGTACTGTCTTACACGTGAGACTTTGCTGAATACAAATATGTGTATTTTATTGCAGTAAAAGCAAACAGTATTATGACATTGACCGTTAAAATGTCATGTAGAACTAAAAAAATCAAAAAAATCTTTTCTCCCATTTTTTCATATTAAATTATGTTTCATAGCTAAATATTTGATATTAAATGAAAGCCCTGTTTCCCCTGAATAAAATGATATATAATAAGGGTGGGTGCATTTACAATGAAAGAGGTGTATTACGGTTGGACAGACATGTAGCGCAAATGCCAGGTTTTGTTTACATTTTGTTTCGTTCACACTGTGTACATTTGGCTCCGTCCTTAAGGGGTTAAGCAGAGCACCATTTTCATGAAATATGGGGAAGAAAAAGGAGCTCTCTGCTGCTGAAAAGAGTGAAATAGTTCAGTGCCTTGGACGAGGTATGAAAACATTAGATATTTCACAAAAACTTAAGCGTGATCATCGCAGTATTAAGAGATTTGTGGCTGATTGAGAGCACAGACACAGATAAAGGCACATTGAGGAAGATTTCTGCCAGATCCATGCATCGGATCAAGAGAGCAGCTGCTAAAATACCATTAGATAGCAGCAAACAGATATTTGAAGCTGCTCATGCCTCTGGAGTCCCACATACATCAAGTTGTAGGGTCCTCCAGAGTCTTGCAACTGTGCATAATCCTTCTATTTGGCCACCACTAACCAATGCTCACAAGCAGAAACTGCTGCATTGGGCAGAAAAACACATGAAGACTAATTTTCAAACAGTCCTGTTCACTGATGAGTGCCGTGCAACCCGGGGTGGTCCAGATGGATGGAGTAGTGGATGGTCACCCTGTTCCATCAAGGCTGCGATGTCAGCAAGCCGGTGGTGGAGTCTTGTTTTGGGCCGGAATCATGGGAAGAGAGCTGGTCGGCCACTTTAGGGTCCCCGAAGGTGTAAAGATGACCTCTGCAAAGTATGTGGTGTACCTGACTGACCACTTTCTTCCATGGTACAGAAGGAAGAACTATGCTTTCTGTAATAAAATCATCTTCATGCATGACAATGCACCACCTCATGCTGCAAAGAATACCTCTGCATCAATGGCTGCTATGGGGATAAAAGGAGAGAAAGTCATGGTGTGGCCTCCATTCTCCCTTGACCTCAATCCTATTGAGAACCTTTGGAGCATCCTCAAGCAAAAGATCTATGAGGGTGGGAGGCAGTTTACATCCAAACAGCAGCTCTGGGAGGCTATTCTGACATCTTGCAAACAAATTCATGCAGAAACTGTCCAAAAACTCACAAGTTCAATGGATGCAAGACTTGTGAAGCTGCTATCAAATAAGGGGTCCTATATTAAAATGTAACGTGATCTGTTAAAGTTAAAATGTTGTTATAAGTTTGATTGAAACCGCTTTTGATTTCAGTAATTATATTGCAAACACAACAAATGACAATTTTCAGTTCTTTACAAGCTATAAAGTGTTTTGAAACTTACTCTGCGTAATAATTTGGAACAGTGCATTGTAAGTTTTTTATGTTTAAAAAAAATACTGTTCATCATTAGGAGAGTTGTTCAATAAAATTTGAATTGTACTCTTAATAGTTGATAACATGAG